GGGGGAGGGGCTGGGGCTTCCTCATCATCCTCCACCCTCAGCTCTGCGTGTTCTGCTGGCGGAGCTTGGTGTAGCTGGTGAAGACGAAGTTGTAGTCGTTGAACTGGGCCAGCTGCCGGTCCTGGCGCTTGTAGCCCTCCATTTTCTGGGGCGAGGAGAAGACGCTGCGACACTTGGAGCTCTTGGGGGGGGAAGAGGAAAGAGGACGGCAAAGGTGAGCGCCAAGTCCGGGACAAAACTCTTACGAATGCGGGCAACTAGGACAAAGGGCGCGTTACGCACCTGGTTGACGAAAAGAGTAGTCACGAACTTCCCCGGCTTGAACACCTCCACCACCTTCCTGATCAGCTCGTCGTAGGACGTCTGGGAGAGGTTGGTTTCGAAGCTGACGTAGGAGAACTCCGGCTCCGGCGTGATGTGGATGGTCCAGTACGTTCCCTGTGGGGGAGGGGCACAAGAACACGCTGCTGACTAGTCTGTAGCGAAACACAGGAGCCGCGAAAACGCGCCGAGTCAGCACTCACGTCAGTCTTCATTCCATTCATTGAGTATCCACAAGGGTTGAACATTGTGGCGTCGATCACTGAACCTGGTACCAGGTCACGAATTCCACTCATCTGAAAAGGAGGAGCCACACTTTTACCGGACCGCCCCCCCCTTTAACCGTCCCGCCCCCATTCTGGTGGCCACAGGCTGGCGGAGCTACTCACACGAGTGACCTCACTTGCAGAAACACCGTCTTTCATGTAGAACTGGTCCATAATGGCTGGATCGAGGTCGCTCATCAGAACTTCCAGCGTCTGATCGGCATGCTTGTTCTCCCAGTAGTCTGGTAGGTCCAGGGTGAACAGATACCTGGGGGGGGGGGCGGCCGGGAACCGGTCAGGAGAACACGGTGACCCCACATCTCATGGATGTACTTACACAACTGCAGTTTCAGCCTGTAGGGACCATGTGATCACTTACCAGCAGTCCGAGTTCAAGCGTCCCATGCAGTAGGAAGCACCATCTGGAAGGACGGGAATAAAAACGTTAAAGAGCTGATAAAAGCCAGAGTGACCCAGTAAAGGGACACTAAGGCTTCACCCTGAAGCTTTTCAGATTTCCTGCAGACTTTGTGACACTCATGTGTCCTGAAAATGTGTTAGTCCTGGTCTAAAAGTACTTAAAATTTAAGTGGATTGTAATGTTTTTTCCCCCAAAGTCGGAAAAAATGGTTTGATCCACTGAAATACTGTGAAGTTCAGCCACCCACTGTAGACAGCACTGACTAAATTGTGGGGTTTTATTTATTTATGTTGTTGAAGTGCCTAAGACAAGCCTAGAAAAACATGCAAAAGGGGAGGCTAAAAAAAATATTGTACATACTTGGGAAAATCTGGCTGAGAAAGTCCACTTCCTCCTGGAAGTTCCGATGAGGGAACTCTTGATGAGTTGGCTTCATAAAGTTCTTGCGGGAGTAGAAGAAATTCTGGAAGATCGAAAGGAAAAAAAAGAGAACAGGAGGTGAGTTACTGCTACGTTCAGGACGGCAGTCCCGAGTCTGAAGGTGGCGGTTTAGGAATTACCTCGATGGTATCAAAGCCGCAGTACTCCCGGGCGAGCTCCAGCAGAGGCACCAGTGCTTGCAGTAAGAGGGTGGTTCCACATGTCTTCAAAATGAAACGTCTCTTGGAGACAAACATGCTACTCTCACTGGGAGAAGGTGACAAAACATGTCATTAACAGCTTTGCACAGCTCCACACACGAAAACAATCATCCTTCCTTGAATGCACAGTCCAAATAAACACTCAGACATTTCAGAAACAAGTGCCAAAATCAACATATTTGTCTGGGTGCGTTTGTTTTCCTTTTAATATCAGAACCCGGCCGACTTGTTTCGGCGGCGCTTCTGTACTTTTGAAATCAAATTAAAATAAATAAACCCACACGCGCTCCACGTACCTGAGTATATAAGCTTCCTGCTTGTCAGTCTTTGTCACACTAATGATCAAACAATGCACATTCTCCAGAAGTTTGTCCCACTCAAACCTGAAAAAAACAGAAGAAAGAAATGGAAACGATTAGCGGTGCTTCACGCGTCTGTATCTTTGATACATTAGAAGTGTGTGTGTGTTGGCTATGGGAGGCCTGCTCCTTGCAGCTGCCCCCCCCCCCCCCCCCCAGCACTCAGACAGCTGCAGTGCAAAAGCAGCTGCGTCACATTTTCATTGCAACCTTGGAAGAAAGGCCTGGGCCTATTCATAGCCCGGGCTACACAGAGAAGGCTCGCGAGACGCACACAGCTCAACGGGGAATGTACCAGCAGCCCATATTGCACAGTCACACCGCGCCACCAGCCCCCCCCCCCCCC